GAACAAGTCCTTATATTAATTATTTCACCAAAGCAAGAACACCAAGTGCCGTGTACCCTTGTATCACATTGTGCAATCATTACTGCACATAAACACTAAATAATTAGACAGGAATTCAGAAAAAACAGACACAGTAGCAATGTGACATTGCTACGCCGCCACTCGGAGGAAATAAACACACAGGGTGACGTCCATGAACGTTAGGCCACTGTAAAACAAATAGTGAGCAATGTGTTCTCCCATATTATTTTTATAACTGAGGTCCTTATTATACAGTGAAGGAAACAAGTATTTGCTCCCCGGCTGATTTTGAATGTTTGCCCACTCACAAAGAAATGATTGGTCTAAAAATCGAATGTTCGGTGTATTGTAACACTGAGAGACAGAATAGCAACAAAAAATTCAGCAGAAATGCGTCTAACAAATGATGACTGATTTTGCATGTTCATGAAGGAAATAAGTATTTGATCCCCTTCACAAACATGACTTAGTATTTGGTGACAAATCTCTTGTTGGCAATCACAGAGGTCAGAGGTTTCCTGTAGTTGGCCCCCAGGTTTGCACACATCTCAGGAGGGATTTGGCCCACTCCTCTTGGCAGATCCTCTCCTAGTCATTAAGGTTTGGTGGCTGACGTTTGGCAACTCGAACTTTCAGCTCCCTCCACAGATTTTCAGTTGGATTAAGGTCTGGAGACTGGCTAGGGCACTCCAGGACCTTAATGTGCTTCTTCTTGAGCCACTCCTCTGTTGCCTTGGCCGTGTGTTTTGGGTCATTTGTCATGCTGGAACACCCATACATGACCCATTTTCAGTGCCCTGGCTGAGGGAAGAAGGTTCTCACCCAAGATTTGATGGTACATTGCCCCGTCCATCATCCCTTTGATGTGGTACAGTTGTCCTGTCCCCTTAGCAGAAAAACACCCCAAAGCAGAATGTTTCCACCACCATGTTTCACAGTTGGGATGGTGTCCTTGGGGTCATAGGCAGCATTCCTCCTCCTCCAAACACGGCGAGTTGAGTTGATGCCAAAGAGCTGATTTTGGTCTCATCTGACCACAACAATTCCCACCAGTCCTCCTCTGCACATTCAGATGTTCAGTGGCAGACTTCAGCCGGGCCTGGACATGTGCTTTCTTGAGCAGAGGGACCTTGCAGGCACTGCAGGATTTCAGTCCTTGTCGGCGTAGTGTGTTACCAATTGTTTTCTTGGTGACTGTGGTCCCAGCTGCCTGGAGATCATTGACAAGATCCTCACGTGTAGTTCTGGAATGATTCCTCACTGTTCTCATGGTCATTGACACTCCACGAGGTGAGATCTTGCATGGTGCACCAGATCTAGGGAGACTGACACTTGTTTTGTGTTTCTTCAATTTGTGAATGATTGCACCAACTGTTGTCACCTTCTCACCAAGCTGCTTGGCGATAGTTTGGTAGCCCAGTCCAGCCTTGTGTAGGTCTACAATCTTGTCCCTGACATCCTTGGACAGCTCTTTGGTCTTTGCCATGGTGGAGAGTTTGGAATCTGATTGTTTGATTGCTCCTGTGGACAGGTGTCTTTTATACAGGTAACAAAATGAGATTAGCAGCACTCCCTTTAAGAGACTGTTTCTAATCTCAGTTTGTTACCTGTATGAAAGACACCTGGTAGCCAGAACTCCTGCTGACTGATAGGGGATCAAATACTTATTTCCCTCATGAACATGCAAAATGACAAAATCCTCGTTGCTTCCGGTTTCCAGGGTCACAGAAAGAGAGAGGAACAATGTCACTCTGTCTAGTGGAGCCATTGCCAGTGGTCCCGGGCTCTGCAAAAGGATGGGAGAGCCTGACAAAGGCGGCATGAGGGGGGGGTGGGGTTGCCACATTCCGCCACTTGCAGGTGCAGGCACCATCCCAGTATAAGCACTACAATCCGATGACATCCTGATTTTAGCACCCCCCCCCCATTCCTTTCTATTGCCGGCGGGTCGCAGCGGTCCTGTGCTCTGCGATTGGATGGGAGAGCCTGAGAAAGGCAGTATTGGGCGGGGGGGTTGCCATGTTCCGCTACCCGCAGAAGTGATCGAGCCACTCGATTCACTTCTGCTGAAAAGAGAATCGTCAGCAGAAAATTTTGATACTAGGATGATGCTTGCAGGTGCAGGCATCATCCCAGTATAAGCACTTCAACCCAATGATGTCCTGATTTTAGCATCCCCCCCATTCGATTCTAGTGTCGCCATTGCCGTCGCAGTTGGGCTCTGCGATCTGACGGAGAGCCTGAGAAAGGCGGCATCGGGGGGGGGGGGGGGTTGGCACATTTCACCACCTGCAGAAGTGATCGAGCCACTCGATTCACTTCTTCTGAAAAGAGAATCGGCAGCAGAAAATGTGATACCAGTGTGATGCTTGCAGGTTCAGGCATCATCCCAGTATGAGCACTTCAACCTGATGACGTCCTGGTTTTACCATCCCCCCATTCCATTCTAGTGCCGCCATTGCCAGCAGTTGCAGCGGTCCTGGGCTCTGCGATCAGACGGGAGAGCCTGAGAAAGGTTGCATCGGGGGGGGGGGGGGGGGGGTCATTGCCACATTCTGCCACCCACAGAAGTGATCGAACCACTTGATTCACTTCTACTGAAAAGAGAATTGGCAACAGAAATGTTTGATACTAGGATGATGCTTGCAGGTGCAGGCATCATCCTAGTGTAAGCACTTCAACCCAATGATGTCCTGATTTTAGCATCCCCCCCATTCCATTCTAGTGCCGCCATTGCCGGCAGTTGCAGCAGTCTTGGGCTCTGTGATCAGACGGGAGAGCCTGAGAAAGGCGGCATCGGGGGGGGGGGGGGGGGGTTTGCACATTCCTCCACCCGCAGAAGTGATCGAGCCACTCGATTCACTTCTGCTGAAAAGAGAATAGGCAGCAGAAAATTTGATACTAGGATGATGCTTGCGGGTGCAGGCATCATCCCAGTATGAGCACTTCAACCTGATGACGTCCTGGTTTTAGCACCCCCCCCCCCCCCCCCATTCTACAGTGGAAGGAGCCGTAGTTTGTCGTTAATTAGAGCGTTGTTCTTTCAGATCAGCAGGTGTACATTGAACGGATATTCTGGGACTCTTTTGTGTTTTGTATTTCTTCTGGTAACTTTCTAGCGGATCTGTTTTCACGTCTCCGATATGCGCTCTTGTGTATTATTTTACCAGGGTGGTAATTTTATTAGTCATCCTCACGTTGATTACTACAATAACAGCCTGGGAGGCATGCCAAGGGGATTGTTTTTTAACCGGCGTAGTAGGATAAAGGCATTGACTTTGAAACAGCTTTTGTTTACTTTCATGTTTTGTGTAATAGTCTCTTTTCTTCTTGTTTTAGATGAGCCCATCGCATCCGAGAGGAACTAAAGAGGCCGCAATAATAATACTCACCACCCAACAGATTGAAGTAAAACTTCAGCTCTTTGTTAGAAAAATAAACATGCACTGGGTCTACTTTGTATTGTATATTGCAGAAGGTGAACATTAGTGGCAATAAAAGCATTGAAAATGCTTTTTGCCTTTTATTGCTGTTTTTCTTTTGTGAAATAGCAATTTTTTTTTTCGGTTTTAGATGAACCCATCACATCCTTGATGAACTTAACCACTTCAAGTCCGGATACTTTTACCCCCTTCCTGTCCGAATACTTTTACCCCCTTCCTGTCCGGATACTTTTACCCCCTTCCTGTCCGGATACGTTTACCCCCTTCCTGTCCGGATACTTTTACCCCCTGTCCGGATACCTGTCCGGACACTTTTACCCCTTCCTGTCCGGATACTTTTACCCCCTTCCTGTCCGGATACTTTTACCCCCTTCCTGTCCGGACACTTTTACCCCCCTCCTGTCCGGATACTTTTACCCCCTTCCTGTCTGGACACTTTTACCCCCTTCCTGTCCGGATACTTTTACCCCCTTCCTGTCTGGACACTTTTACCCCCTTCCTGTCCGGATACTTTTACCCCCTTCCTGTCCGGATACTTTTACCCCCTTCCTGTCCGGATACTTTTACCCCCTTCCTGTCTGGATACTTTTACCCCCCGGACACTTTTACCTGTCCGGATACTTTTACCCCCTTCCTGTCTGGATACTTTTACTTTGTACCCCCTTCCTGTCCGGATACTTTTACCCCCTTCTTGTCCGGACACTTTTACCCCCTTCCTGTCCGGACACTTTTACCCCCTTCCTGTCCGGATACTTTTACCCCCTTCTGTCCGGACACGTTTACCCCCTTCCTGGACACCCCCTTCCTTCCGGATACTTTTACCCCCTTCCTGTCCGGACACTTTTACCCCCTTCCTGTCCGGATACTTTTACCCCCTTCCTGTCCGGACACTTTTACCCTCCCTGTCCGACACTTTTACCCCCTTCCTGTCCGGATACTTTTACCCCCTTCCTGTCCGGACACTTTTACCCCCTTCCTGTCCGGACACGTTTACCCCCTTCCTGTCCGGACACTTTTACCCCCTTCCTGTCCAGGCCAATTGTCAGCTTTCAGTGATATCACACTTTGAATAACAAATGCGCGGTCATGCAACACTGTACCCATATGAATATTTTTGCTTTTTTTTTTGAGACAGATAAAACTTTATTTTGGTGGTATTTATTCACCACTGGAATTTTTATTTTTTTTTGCTATGTAAATTAAAATGTCCAAAAAGTTTGAAAAAAAGTGTTTTTCTTATACAATTTTGCAAATAAATAATCTTTCTTCATAAATCTTGCCCAAAATGTATTCAGTTATCTTTTTAGTAAAAAAAAAATAAATAACCAAAATTAGTTTATAACCACAAATTATAATTTTTCAATATTGTTTTTTACATTTTTATTTTATTTTTTTAGATTATTATTTTTTTTTACATACTGTCACCCTAGCAGCACAGTGTTACCATAGTGGGGGGGTGATGAAGATTTTTTTAAAATAAAGGCTGTAAAAGCAATCATTTCTCTTTCTGTCTGCATTCTTGCAGCCATTGAGAAATACTGTGTGAGCTGTGATTGGTCACAGCTTGTCACATGGTACAAGGCTGTTGTGAATAGCCTTGTACCATGTGATCTCTGTGATCATTCACAGATTTCACACGTAGTAAACAATGATGTCAGAAGTGACATCTTGCTTACTACTCTTCATGTGATCACTGATTGGCCAATCAGTGATCACATGATCGGGACCGCACACGGAGGACACAAAGGGCACCGGATCGCGGTGCTGCACGCTCCCAGGGAGCGCGCACAAGCAGGGAGGCTGTTTATAAATGGCCACCAGCCCCTGCATTGCTCCTGTCCGGCCGTTTATATACATGGGCTGGAGTGGTTAAAGCAGTATTAAACCCAAAAGCAAACATTTAATATATTGCAGTTTACCAATTCTTAGATGTGATGGCTGAATTAGTTTTCATTTTTTAGGCTTTCTTTCTTCTATTTTCACCTGGTGATCTGGCCAGTAAGTCTGTTGTTTTTTTTTAAAGAACACCCTCTCTTCTAGATGTATCCCTTTACAGAGATGAGACAAACCACTGGCAGGGATGCTTACAATGATTAGCTTCTATTTATTCATGTAAAACCTTTATCCAAAAAGAAGCTGGAGTTTGGCTTCAACTTGTTAACATATTTGAATCTGCTAGTCCTTCTAACACTCCCCATTCCCCAGACTGACAATGCTTCTGTCTGCTGTGCCCTCTGTGCTTCTTCATCCAGAGTGGAGGCGCTCTAATACAGGAGGTGTGTTACTGGCCAGATCACCAGTGTGAAAACAGAAGGGGAAAAAGATTAAAAGAAGAAAACTAATGCAGCCACCACATCTAATGATTGGTAAGCTGCAATAGATTACATTTTTTGTTTTTGGGTTTAATACCACTTTAGGAAGCCACAGTAATAATATTCACCACCCAAGCAATTAAAATAAAACTTTGGCTCTTCGTTAAAAAATAAATAAATACGAACACTCAATAGGTCTACGCCATACTGTAAATTGCACGGATTTCGCTGCATTTTCTTGTAAAATCCTTCCTCCCTCTGTTTTGGAGAAAAACATATCTTGTGTACTTCAAGCTGGCCATACACTGTGTAAATTTCGCTCATTGGGTGGCCCTGCCAGCCCTGCATCATTCAACATGAGGCAGCAGTCCAGTTACCTTTTGTCAATTAAATCTGCTGTATCCAATAAGTCTGCTGCAGGCTGCAGGAAGCATTCCCTCAGTCTCCTCTCCCACAATGATCAGAGTGCAACAATGTAACTTTTAGCACATCATAAGGTGGGAGGTTATTGCAAGGGGCTGATAAGTGTCAGAAATTTGTGAGCACAGCCATGAATAGTGGTGGGACAGGCTCGCCCAGCTCCCAGGACAGGAACTGCGACCTCCTCCCCCCCAGCATGTGCCGTCCTGCATGCTGTGGCGCAACAAGAGTGGCAGCAGCAAGAGATGATCTGTGTCAAACACTGGAACACAGCCAGGAACTGCATAGGCACCAGAATTTCCATGTCTGAAGAAAGAAGGTTCTGTTCTGGAGAGAAATGCAAATGAAGGTATTGTCAGGGGAAGTACTGTGATCTCTGTAAGAGATAATAAATACCCTACAGTTTTATACTTTACTAGCATGCATGCATTTAGAAATATATACTTGATGCAAGTCCGCTTTCTAGCGCACCAGTCATATGAGATCAGGGGCGGACTGACCATTTGGAAACTCAGGCACTGCCCGAGGGCCCAGGGTCATTAGGGGGCCCTATGAGATGCCCCTGGTACCTTTTTCATAGGCTTTTTTGAGTTTGGGCAAGGACACAGGGGCCCCATGATCCCCTATTGCCCGGGGGCCCCATGAGTTGTCAGTCCACCCCTGCATGAGATAGACTATCAAAGCTAAATGCAAGTATGCCAACTGCGTTACCAAAATATATAGTTCTATTTAGCCAGCCTTGTGATCCAGAAGGCCCCTGCAAGGCAGCACAGTCAGCACTGTAGTCTATACAGTAGGTAGCCAATGCAATCTGGTCCAGGAGCAACCCTATCCTATGACTAGACAGTGAAGCACCAATGATGTGCCCTTCCCAGGGGCGGACTGACCATTTGGAAACTTGAGCACTGCCCGAGGGCCTGGGGTCAGTAGGGGGCCCCATGAGATGCACCTGGTACCTTTTTCATAGGCTTTTTTGAGTTTGGGCAAGGACACAGGGGCCCCATGATCCCTTATGCCCGGGGGCCCATGAGTTGTCAGTCCGCCCCTGGCGCTTCCCTCCTGTAAGCATGCTTGCAGAATTAGACTGACAGCACAGCACAAAGCAAAAAGATTGTGACCTTTGATGGCTTTGCAATCTTGCCAAAGATTGGAATCTAAAGTTTCATTGCTCAATCAAATGGCCACATTTGGCCAGTTGTAGATTCAACCAACTGGCTCCATAATGACTTTTCACGTTGACATCTCAAAACATTACTACTGCTTGTTTTCTGCCCAAGTGTCATCTCATGTCCTTTCGCTCGGCACGCTGACGAAACGCATTTCACTTGTGTAAGGATTTCCTTTATTAGATTTCCAAGAAGAGATGTCAACATTGTGGGCTCTGCTAAGACTCGCTTCTCTCTTTTTCTAATCTAAATGAAGCCATGTCAGTTTCACAAGTGACTGCCTTACGGCTTCCCGCGCTGGGCTTCCAGTAAAGAGGCCTTCTGGTTATCGTGGCGGTTATCCAAGAGGAAGTGTTTCAGAAGGTCATCTCCTACCAACAGGAAGTTGAGGGCTTTCCTGTTTTTCATCTATCCTCTTATGTTACGAGACACAAGGGAAGCGCCAACAATGATGGAACATCTGTCCGGCTCCAACACAGCTGGAGCTGGAGGTCCTCAGACTGTCTCCTGCCTTCCGCTCATCTTTGTCTATCTATCCATCATTTCTGGAGGTCCAGGATGAGACATGGATTGTCATAAACAATAGTGGCTGAAATCACTACTACACTAGGTATTGTTATAGAAAAATTGTAGGATATGCAGTGTATTGGCTGGATCAGTGCTGCTCAACCAACAGCCTGGAGGCCAGATATGGTTCTTATGGCTTTGTTGGCTTGGACACTGCATCCTAAAACCTGGACTGAATTTAAAACAGTGAAATGGCTAGATAAGTACTGCTCAACCAACAGCCTGGAGGCCAGATGTGGTTTTATTCTGGCCTTGTTTGCTTTGCCATTACATCCTAAAGAGTGGAGCGGATCTAAAACCCAAAAGAACTCTTGCATTGAACTCACTTGGCTCTTTCTAATCCAAATGAAGCTGTGTTGGATTTTAAAACAGTGAAATGGCTAGATCAGTGCTGCTCAACCAACAGCCTGGAGGCCAGATATGGTTCTTATGGCTTTGTTGGCTTGGACACTGCATCCTAAAAACTGGTCTGAATTTAAAACAGTGAAATGGCCAGATAAGTGCTGCTCAACCAACAGCCTGGAGGCCAGATATGGTTCTTATGGCTTTGTTGGCTTGGACACTGCACCCTAAAAACTGGACTGAATTTAAAATAGTGAAATGGCTAGATAAGTGCTGCTCAACCAACAGCCTGTGGGCCAGATGAGTTTCTTTTCTGGCCTTGTTTGCTTGGCCATTACATCCTAAAGAGTAGAGCGAATCTAAAACCCAAAAGAACTCTTGCATACAACTCACTTGGCTCTTTCTAATCCAAATGAAGCTGTGTTGGATTTTAAAACAGTGAAATGGCTAGATCAGTTCCGCTCAACCAACACTCTGTAGGCCGGATCAGGCTCTTCTGGCCTTGTTGGCTTGGCTACTGCATCTAAAAGCCTGGAGTGAATCTAAAACCCAAATGAACTCTCGTGTACTCGCTTCTCGCTTTCTAATCCAAATGAAGCTGTGCCAATATCACAAGTGAGCAGCTTGTGGCTTCCTGCACTGTCCTTCTAGTATAGAGGCCTTGTGGTGAATAGATTACAGCGCAGTATGATGATAAGTGATCATAGTCTCATAGTCCCACAGCAATAATAAAATAGCCTATCCCCAGACATCATGTTGTAGGGAAGGACACTTGCTCTCTAGTGGTCTCTCTGCAGTGGTCTGATATGCCCCTTTGCTGAGTCAGACCTAGAGCTCTCCAATCAGCAAAGCTCACACCCCCTAATGTTTGGAGAACTTCAGCTCTGACTCTTAGGTGGAGTATAAACCGAGTGAACTAGAGAAATCTATGCATGTTTGGCTAGCATTAGACTTGAAACAAGTTAAACAACTGTTAAATGATTTCTCCTTATCTCTTGTTCTGTGGGAAAGTCTAACGTTTTGGATCTCCTATCACTCTCTGATAAATGTAACGAAATGATTGAGCTGAAGAGGGGGCTTCTGTTCCATCCACTGAAACTGCCCTACTAAAACTCACGAATGATCTACTAATTGCTAAAACCAATGGCCACTACTCCATACTCTTACTACTTGACCTTTCTGTGGCTTTTGATACGGTTGACCATCCCCTCCTCCTCAAAAAACTCCACTCTCTTGGCCTCCGAGACTGCTCTCTCCTGGTTCTCCTCCTACCTATCACAGCGCTCCTTCAGTGTTACCTATAACTCTGGCTCCTCCTCCTCACTCCCTCTTTCTGTAAGGGTCCTTCAAGGTTCAGTCCTTGGACCCCTACTCTTCTCCATCTACACCTCCTCCCTTGGTCACTTGATAAACTCCCATGGCTTTAAGTACTATCTCTATGCTGATGACACACAAATCTATCTTTCTACCCCTCACCTCACCCCTTCAGTCTCCTCTTGCATTACTAACCTACTAAGCGACATATCGGCATGGATGTCACTCCACTTCCTCAAACTCAATTTTTCCAAAACTGAGCTCTTAGTATTCCCCCCAGCCCATGCCACCCCCACTGACTTCACCATCAAGATCAATAATACAACCATCGGTCCCTCTCCTCATGCCAGGGTACTAGGTGTAATCCTAGACTTCCATCTGTCCTTTCAGTCCCAAATCCAATCGCTGTCCAAATCTTGTAGACTTCACCTCCGCAACATCTCCAAGATACGCCCGTTCTTAACTACTAAGCAACTTATCCCCTCCCTGGTTATATCTCGCCTTGACTATTGTAACTCCCTCCTCATTGGCCTACCTCATCACAGGCTATACCCTCTTCAGTCGATCATGAATGCTGCTGCCAGACTCATCCAACTTACTAATCCTTCTGTATCTGCCACCCCTCTCTGCCAATCCCTCCACTGGTCTCCACTCAGTGTCCTCCACCCCTCTCTGCCAATCCCTCCA